AGATTTTACAATTTTTTTCGAATAATAGTAGAATGAGAGGAATCATGTGCGAAATCACGTGTTGTGGTGTGAGTTACGCTACTGGCACTTGATTGACAAGGGTCATCGAGGATATTCAGGCTAACGAATTGGGGTTCGGGGCTACAATCGAAGCATAATGAGATTCTTAACAAGAGGACTACAGAAGGCCAAGATTAAGAAAACTAACAGAGAGTTGACACCACTGAGGGTGTGGACATTGGCGTGATAACAGCAGAAGGCCCTGACAACTGCCTTCGGTTATTTCCTCAAACAGGTCACATATAATTGAAGAATTTAGCAACCACTAATAAAGGCATCGTACCTCGAAGAAGAACGGAACGACGCTGAATTAAGATCTTCTTTTCTGCTCTCCTCTGCAATTAAAAAACATGCAGCATGACATCCAAGTGGCTCGCTGTTGTGGGGTAAGTTTACTACATACTGAGAAACATGTCTAATCACCCAATTGGAGGGCAATCGCAAACGCATTTCAGTCCTGAGCCACCACATTGTCGCCTGTTCTAATGACTTTCTGAACAAGACGACACACTGTTGCAAAACACATATTTTTGCATCTGAGTGCATTCATCAAGGATACAAGACTAATAGCAACTTTATGCATTTTCAGAAAATAATGCATATTTCGAATGCATTAGATCGCAAAATCAAAATTGAAGTAGAAGTTTGTCAGAGATGCAAGTGGCAAGTGTTTGGGTGTTTTTAATGCCTCAGTTGATTTGATTTTTGCAACCATTTAGCAGTCAGATTCGACTTAGTAAAAAATTACGAAGTATGGATTTTCCGCTAGCAACTTGTCATTTGAAGTTCACCAGACCGAAGGGTTTTCATGGGGGATGGTACTTAACGACCATTAGTTTTAAGAGGAAAAAAACAAAAGCTTAGAAAATTATTGACTAATTGATGAAGAAGTTCGACTTCAAGTACTTCGAGACAAATTATTAGTGACTGACGAAATACCTGTGGCATTTGACATGCTTACCTGGCACTCAATCCCAAGAATCGTAATAACAGTCAGTAGAGTACACTGAACCGTACTGAATTCAAGTGAAGTACTAAAGCTTACTTCTTGGCGGATCTGTTTCAGTTGACGAATGTAGAGACTGATAGTGGCTTGTTCGTTCCTCAACTTATCTAACGCCTCCGAAATTTCCCAGACTTCGTGCATTTTTGCAAAAGTGGCCGAATTCGAGGCCGGTGGAAAAGGGGGGGCAGCAGCAGCCGCTGATAGAGGGACTGTTGGCGACTGTTGCTGCGATGACTGAGGCTCTTGTTGTGGAGATCGTCGCGTGATTGTTTGAAATTGTGTCGCCCCTCCCTCTTGTACACGCTCCGGGGCCACTGGCACAAAGGCGCTTTTTGGACTGTTTCCAATACTAGGAGCAGGCTGGAGGGTGTGACAATCATTAGCACTAGGTGGCCTTACATTGCGCGAAGAGGAGCGTGAACGCTGTCCAGCAGATTGAGAATTGTCTTTGTCTTTTGGAAATTCAGATGGTCCACGAAAACTCTCACAACGAAAACCCTCACCACGAAAACGATCACTTCGTCGCCCCTTATTGTAATCATAGTGGCAGGTGTCATGCGGCGAACGGTATTGCGTGGATGTACCAGTCCAGCTGTGGGCACTTGCATCCCCCTGTCGTTGCTGAAAAATTAAAATAACATGCACTATGATAGATTGCATGCAGACGGGATTAGTAGTATATAAGAGAAGAGAGCAACTAAGGGCGTTCCTTCGAGCAAACAACTAATCAACCAATTCAAATAGTCAGATTTAGACGAAGCCCCAAAAACGGCACCCTTGGACAACGTCGGAAAAATCAAAATGAGCACTAATGTTGCTTGAGTTAATTTTTGACCAAAACAGAGGAATCAGAGATTTCTTAATGAAAGCTTTAAGTAGTAAATATAGTAATTAAATATAACAAGCACAAAACGTGTAGACATGCACATGATTGCGGATTACTTAGACTATGACTATTGTTAACAAAAGCATTATGATACGAAGAAAATGGGCTACAATGAGAATTTCCCACATTTCCTTCAGAGTCAAAGTACTGAAACATTTCAGATTCACCACGAAGGGTCTTTGAGGATAACATTCCTGCCGAACGTGTCTGCTGCTACTTGAGTGATAATTTCGCTGATGATCCTTTGGAAGAGACCCCGACCGGGAGGTATGGGTTTTATGGTGGCGTGCTGCACAAACAGGGCTCCTGATTTCCTTAGAATGACACTCGGGTTGCAAAGTGCATTCGGTGTTAGGACACGAAGAGTCTAAATGCGTGCAAGGTTAAAAGATAAATTGAAATAATGAAAGCTGAAGAGGTGTTACCGGGCAATGGAAATGAATCTAAGCGAAGGATTTTGGGTGGAGCCGAGTTTCCTTTCGAGGATTTTGTGTGATGCGAAAGCGTTTTTGAATCTAATCATAGAAACACAATTACAAAAAAGAGAGCTTTGTGTACCAGAAATATTTTGTGTTCCGGGGCAAGAAGAGGGTAACTGGTTAAAACGTTTTACCTCAGGTTGGGCGTTGGAAGTTTGAAGGGACGTCGCCTTTGCTATAAAATTGAAGGCCATTTGACAATGGCGCATGAAAACGCAAAAGAGTGAGGCTAAAGACACTGCAATTAACTGAGCCTAGAAATCCGATGCATTTATCTTATTTGTTCGAACAGAGATAACAAGCGTACCTTTCTCCGATGGTGCTTTTGAATCTGCCTGACGCGTTTGACGATCAAGAAACCGGCGTTTAAGTGCCATTTTTCTAAACAGAGGCATCGTTTAATTAAGGCAGTCACATGCAAAGCTACTTCACAAAGCCAAACGTATTCATGGATAATACATACTGGGCGTTGGAGATCTGCATAAAATGACTGTAGTTGCCGGAATGCAATGCTGATGCGACGTGATTGTTCCATTCGTTCAAATCATTCATGCCACCAATTCCGCAAAGAGGGCAGAAATGGGAACTAAGCGGTTGTAAAGCAATAACAACATTACATAGGATTTCCTAGGCTGCGCTGAGCTGCTTCATATCGTTTGTGGTGCTTTATACTTATCATGTGTTGAATAGAGACCTGAAATAGACAAAAATATAGTTCAAATACATACAACTTACGGTTTCGGTCCCGTAAACAACTTCACATATGTCACACTTGCCATAGTAACTTCCAGAAGTATATTTATTGCTCGTACCAGCTACCTTCATACTAAGAGCAATAGGCCTAAACTTTCAGGAATAATATGGCCTACGGCCCGTCCGTCACTCATACACACAAATGTTTATGAGCCAATAGAAAGGTCTGGTGAATGCCCTTCAGATTGAAAATCAATAGTCCAAGTCAAACCATAATTACAGGTGCAAGCCCCTAAAGCTTCCTATGAATACATGTAGTAGTATTAGAGTTATGAGAATAAATCACATCTATAAGGTCAATGTGTCGCATAAATTGGTATGTTCCGAATTATAAATAAAATAGACATTTTTTCGTTCATTATGGGTTTTTTCGAGGCTAAGTAGTAAAAATTTATTGATGAAGTTCATATTCAGCCAAGACATTGTGAACGTGACAAGAAGCAGATCTAGATATGGGTGTTTTTTCCAGCTCAGACGCAAAATATTTATGGTACAGGTTCTTCTGATTTAGGTTTGAGGTGATCGAGAGGGTCCCGCCTAATATTGCAGGTGCTGTCAGATAGCACAGGGTTATGTTTTGCCCATACTTAAAATCTTTTTTTGATTCTGCAGTCCAGGGTAAACAGTATTTTAAATAAATTTACTCCAGTCCCAAGCATAAAAGCCGGAGTGCTAAATGCTTTGTGCACCTGACCGTATGTAGAGGATATTTGCCTTTGTGAAAAATTAGTAACGAGGCATTCGCAGCCAATGAATAGTCTAGCGGTTTTGTGCATACACTGGATTGTAGTAAGAATAAACCTTCCAATATGTGCTTGGTAATCAAACGTGAAGTAGAAACCAGGTTTTCCTGAAGGTGTTAAATAAATTATAAGTAAGCTTTGTAGGAATTATAACGGAATATGGCGTAGAACTTGTGCAACAACAGAAATTTTCAGGCTCACTGCATATATTATTAAATTGTAAGTGATATTTTTCCATGTCGAAAATATTAGTTCCAATTTGAATGCGAATAGCTACAATTATGGAAAGAGTATAGTTGAAACTTATTGATTGACACTGAGTACTGAATTTACTGACGGTATAAACACCTTGTAAAGCCGTAAAATCTTAATAAAATTACTCATATTGAAAAACAATGGTATTTTTTTAAATCATTGTAAAGTTTTGCACGGTTTGCGTACACATTTTGGGAATTAGCGTGTAAAAGGGAATAAATACTTGGTAGTCCTTCACACTTTGTATCAAATTTCCAGGCAGAATCTGGTGATGTGTATGGGCGTTAAATTAAAATTCGTTAAAACACGGAAATAAAGCAATGTGCATTTCACAAACGTTGCGAACAGGGCGTTAAGTGCACATAATATGCGTGCAGCCATAATGGCAATAATTTGCAGGATATTTTTATTTCTTACGCCATGGATCTGCAACATTTCAGAAAAAAATTGATAAAAAATGCATAAATCACCGTACACTACAAGGTGAATTTAGAACTGTAAAAACGAGGCCAAAATGCGGACCAATGGTACATGAGTATTGTATCGAAATATTTTAAAACTGTCTGGAAAAGAAAGATGGCATTACACACTATTAAGTAGATGTCAGCGCGAAATATGAGCTTTAAATTGTCTCTAATCACGTGAAAATATTTTTGAAACACTAATTATTACCACCGCACTCGAAATACGTCAGTAATGGGGGACATTCGTGACAAGGGCAACCTTGAAAGCCTTCACAGGGAGTCCGAATAGCAAGGTGGCCGTAGTTGGACTGCATTATCGTTCATCTTAAGTCTTCTTTCCCACGTGCATATTCAAGCCACGCACCTTTCCGACAAGTAAACTAAGGTGAACATGACCAACACTAGGCAGCCCTGTCTTCAACCATCAATGGTGCAAGACTCATTAATACTAAATCAAATCGAATCTATCTTGACGGAAGAGGGATAATATATTTATTGCAGCACAAAGTCGTAGGTATGACATCAATTGAAGCATATCGGAGAGAAAACAGTGTCTAACCCTACCAAATTATATGTATCAGTAAGAAAATTGATACATAATATAGGCTCACCCTCTCAAGACTGTGTATTTGCACATTTTACAGACGCATCGGCAAATTCAATCTCCCTTAACTATAGCGCCTATTTACACAGCACAAACGTATAACTACATAAAAATCTTCTAGCAGGAGGATCAGTTTGGACCGATTAAGACTCTCAGTCGGGCACATTACTACGTCTATCCGCATTTCAGCTACAAAAACAGAACTATGATCCTAGCTGAAACTCTGATTTAATTTTGACATCTATGTTTAAAAAATTGTCTCTCTGCACCTGGGAACGCTAGCACCTGGAAAACCACGAACGGCTCCATGCCCTCGCTGTCCAACCTTTCGTTCACATCAAACAAGGCCAATGGTAACAAATCGCCATTACGAGCAATCTGAGTTTCCCATGCCTTTGTCTGGCATCCCCAGTTTGGATTAAAACATTCAATAACCAGGTTTGCGAGTTCATAAACGGAAACCTCCAAAGTGAAGACACACAATTTGACGACACAATTTACCTAAACCTAAGCACAGATCATATTCGCCATTATTCACCCCAAGACAACCCAATTGAGTGAAACACGACGTTAAAGTTGAAAACCAGTTTCAACGTGGGTTTTATTACACCAGAAAACACAGGAGGAACTAGACACGTGAAAACTGTGTTATTTTGAGATTGGAGGACAGGCATTAGTTAACTGGCGATTGTGTCAAGAATGGAAGAGACCGGCAATACACACACCAAAACCGAAACACACCATCCCAGAATTTTCACCACCTCGAGAAGGCTGGACAAATACGAGAAAACGGTGTTAGTTTATTATGCCGCTGGCTTTTCATAAGAGGGATTCTTTGCGAGAATAACAAATCCCTCGAGGGGTAAGTTTGTGACAGGCAAGTACTCGTCAGTTGCCAACTCCGCGCGCTCTCCATGCGCTAGGAGGACTGGAGTGGTGTGCGTCTGGAAACCAGTGATGGTCTTCGGGCGGCCAGCCTGACCAACGACATCAACGGCCTGACCGACACGGACGGTGACAGTAAGGGGTTTCAAGTCCTTATCAAAGGTCATCAGAAGGCGTGGTTGGATAGCCGGGGTTAGGTAGAAAATCAAATAGTCGCTTCGGCCCATAAAGGTCATTCGCATTTCGAGGCACGAGACGAGCAGAGTCAGGAGACCCGCTAAACTAACTGGTCGGAACAGCGCATGATCTGAGTGCCATGGAGTGAGTGTGAGAGTACCCTTGCCCAAATGGGTCAGGCCCTGAGCGAGGCGAACCAAGAAGAGGTTGTAAGGATCTCTAGCATGATATCCAGCCAGTTGACGAAGCATGGCTGCCAAGCGTGCGTTGTTGGTACCTGTAATTAAATAGAATCTAGAAAGTCTATCTGAGACCGAAGGAAAGCAGCACAAGTGGAGGCATGTGAACTTTAAGTCAAAAATTATTTCATAAAGCAGCTATTTCACAGCTGTGACTTGATCAAGTTCCAGATAAAAAAGCTTAAGAGCTCACATTAGTTTAAAGATAGACAATTCAGGAAGTATGGTCTACCAAAGTCATTGTGGCTAAGTACGGGGCTTCGATTTCGATTTCAAATATGAGCCAGCAGCGTAAAAATGTGCCACTGGCTAAAAGGACGGTTTGTGTGGGTGAAAATAACAGCGATACGAATATCTAGATAGAAAATGCGTACGTTGGAGTAGTAAAATAGGCTAACTTACCAGCACCGACGATACCCATCGCCAAAACCGAGTTGTAAGAGAGCTCTGGATCAGAATCATGGCTGAACTTGCTTAGCGTATCCAGCACCTTGAGTTGGGGATTCGAGACATAGCAAAGGGCTAACGCCAAAGGCACAATTCTCTTGATCGGGGTCTCCCCAAATCTGAGCTGAAATGAGACAACATTTTTGTGTGACAAAATTGCCACACACACTTAAACAAAGCCTCCTTTCAACAACCCCGCAAATGCCGGTGACGTAAAAATGAAATGTTGAGATTCAATGAAATAAAAATAAATTTCAAAGTGAGTGGAATTAAGCTAATTCCTGATTTAGAGATTACTACGTGTGAAGATAGGACTTCATTTTAGCCTCGTTATGTAAGAGAGCAAAATACTCTAATGGACAAATCAGAGTATTTGTCATGATAATGTGGTTTGAAACGCCTTCATATCAGATACAATGCTGGCATAGAAATCAAGACTAAAGCAAATGACAAAATGTTGCTACTTTTAATTTGCTTAGACATGACCTGGTAGTAAAAAGGATGAGCTAGAAATTTGTGTCAAAACAAGTGTGTAGAAATGTGGATGAAGTCCAGAGAGTACGCTAGTTGCAAAAATCATTGGATTTCAAAAAAAAAACATTAAACATTCCTAGTCCTTACTAAACTCTCGACTGGTCAAATATATGAATTATTAGCGTCGGTAAAAGTGCAACGATAGAAAAGAATTTGACCATTCAACAACAGCTAAAATATTAACACCTTCAAAATTACACTGAATTCGAGGGACGCAAGTTGCAGGGAAGTCATAAAACAAACTTTCAAGTACGTGAAGAGGGCATTATTTACCAGGTGTCCGAACATCCGGAAAGCCATCTCCTGACCAACCTCCTCCCCCATAGCGATTATGGCAATCCCCAGAACCGCAAGCCCTTGGTGGGCGTGGAAGTCAAAACCCATGGTTGCGCCAGTCGAAGTGGTGTTGGCGTCTTCAGAGGAAGCTGCCGCCTGATCATCGATCTGCATCGGTTCCTCCGTAGTGGCTGAGGCACTTTCGGTGGGTGGTTTGGTGCTGCTTGAACCCGCGTGCCGACGTACCCGGCGACCGCCTGGGTTGCCTGAACTTCTACGCGACTCCTTCTTGTGATGGTGATGGTCCTTCGACTTGGACTTTTCTGCTCCAGCCGAGGCAGCGGAAGACTTCGACTTTTCGACTTTTTCCACCTTTTCTTCATACTTCTCTGAGAGAATGTGAAGGAGGTTCTGGATTTTCAGCACGTTGCCGCTTCCTACGAGGCAGAAGGAGCAGGGGTTTAAAAAACTAACATTGTTAACCACAGCAAAGCATAACTGAACAATTAAGTAATGGATCTACAATTTTTGTACAGCTCGTATCCAAATTTTTAAAGAGTGGAGGACCAAGCAATAAAATAGTTAGGTATAGCCTACGACTTTGACAGCTACCGAAGCCTATGTGATCCAATCAGACAGCTTAACGACACCTAACCAGGACCCAGCAGTAAGCGCAGATTAGATCAAGTCAGTTTACAAGCTAGCTGAGACCACAAACGAAAAGGTTCCTTTCGTTGCATGATATATAGGAAAATCAAAGAGAAAATCATGTTTCAGAATAAATTTTATATATGTCAAAAATAAATTATGATGGATTTTGCAATGAGCTGATGCGAACTTCTAACGGCGCTTAAACCTGCTCATAGCCAAAGTGTAGTGTTAAAGTCAAGCCCAATGGAGCTCAGAAATGTTTAAAATATGGCGGTGCATAACGGAATAAGAAACCTGGCTACGTTGACGCCATCAATCCTACCACTAAATTAAAGATAAAGTATGCATGAAGTAACTGAGGAAGCCATTGAAAAAAAATTGCCATGAAGGTGAAAAGCCCCAAGTTCGTAGTGAATATGTTTGAAAATTATAGGAGGTACTCTGTGCTTTAAAAGTGGACTTGCTCACCTCAACTAAGATGGCAATCTATGGGTGTTCAGATATCACTAGATTCTGGGAGAGTTGTTGGGGGAAATATACCGAAAATATGATACGTTGAAGTGTAGTCCATAAAGCGAACGAAAGTTAATTAAGTTCATCCGTGCCAGCCATAATACTGTGTGGTCGTAAGTAATGCAACTAGCTTTCAACTGCTCGAAATATGTAAGAATCAAGCCACCAAGTGTTGAACATATCGCGGAACTGCAAGCAGAGACATTGAGCAGATCCGATTCAACAAGTTTCAGTGTACGAAACCCTTTCCAATGTGTATGTGGAAAGATATTTGAATACTTCATGTCTAAACACGATTCCATAACGATATCCGATAACCAAAAGCTGAAAAATTCTGCAATTGTTCTCGAAATTAACTAAAACTGCTCCAACAAGAAGTGCATAGCTGTTTTTTTTTGAAGTAAATACTTCGATATCAGTTCCGGAATTAAAAATTGCACCATAGACAAAATACAGTTTTCGAGATGAATGCAATTTAACTAAAACACTATTTTCTAATTCGCATACATACAAATTTTTCTGATATCAGTGATACACCAAGTTCAGACACTATGGGAATCAATCTCACAATCTCGATATGCTACAAGAACTTTTGCAAGCAGTCAAGAAATCACATACCTGCATACGCACAAACATCACACATCATATGTGCCATTGACTTCATTGGTTCTGTAACCGCCTCTAACGAAGCTAGAATCACGTCGGCCTCATCTTGTCGTCCTAGGCAGGTGAGGGCCAGTCCCAATGCCATGAACTTGCTAAAAGTGTTGTTCCAGTGGGTACTTGGACGCTCTAGCATAGTTTGAATGATAGTGGAAGTAACCTCCTCATTCAGGGAGCCTACAGCAATCATGCCGGCAGACAGGGCGGCCAAACAGGCGTGCTGAAGGCGACCTGAAGAGGTATCTAGAATTGCTGGCACGAGGTGGGAAATTGCTTCCTGTTTGTTTGAACCAGAGTAAGCTACCCCAAGGCCGATAATGGCGGCACGAGACAAGACATCAGTTTGATGTTCCACGTATGAGGAGAGAAGAGCGAGGGCCGGGTCGCATTCGTTCTTGACACCACAATTTACCACGCCACAACCGAGCAAGGCACCAGCTTGAGTGTGGTCGTCCGCAGCATAAAGATATTTGTCGATCTGGGATAGGCCACTGTCCACGTCCCATAGCAAAACCCACCCAAGGGTAGCAACTGCACTCATTTTGCCTACAATTCATAACAAGGCATAATCTCGTGATGCTTCCGTAGTCAACTGCAACCGCATATATCCTGTTTCACATTAGAAATGCCAGACACGTTTGTAATTTCAGTGCACCTAAATATTTGTTGTATTTGAAGCAACTTGGGTTCTTTCTAAACACAAGGTTACATATACGAACAAAAAGCAGGAATCAAGTAATATTTAAGACAAAGACAGCAATTAGGCTGGATTGTAACGACATTTACATTAAATTTTTACGTACGACTACTTGCAATAGGATCAACACGACAGATTAACGAGTGTAACTAGGCTTAATGACAAAGTTTGATCGATTAGTTAGGACTTAGACGAGAGTTTAACGAGAGCCAAGTCCTTTGCCATTTATTGCCATATAGACTTCCAGTCTAAAGAACGATTATTATACAAGCGACTCATTAAAACTGTTCAAATTAAGTAGGGCGTAAATTAAGATATCAGGGGAAAATAAGGCATGCTAAAAATATTGGGCACCTACCTAGGTCTTTTTGTCGAGAAAGCCAAGTCCCTTCTTTGGATTCATCTTGTATCAGCTTCTCCTTTCCGAAACCACAGTTTACTAAGCCATTGACATATGAGGCTGCTGAGTTCGTTCGCATGGTGTCTAGCATAGAAGACATGGCTAGACGTGACGGTTCCAAATGTTGCTTGTAAACATCCTCCGGTAGCTATTAAACAGTGATTATAATACCAATTATAATTAGAAATTAGTGTAAAACACTTTACGCGAATAAGCCGTAAATATAGCAAAATATAGTAGCACGTCATAACTATACTTAGGAAACATGTTTGCAATTGCAAAACAGATAAACGAAACACGACAAAAACAATACCTTAGGGTCCATTATATCAAGCTCTCTGGCAAGTGAAAGGAAATGTTCAGAAAGACGAGTATTGCCCAGCATCTCGGCAAGATCTTCATCTTCTTCAGCTAAAGCTTCATCATATGGTGTAATAAACTGGTGCTTTCCAAGAAAATAGGCCAACTGTCGCCTGACATCAGTTCCAGTGATACCCTTGCGAGAAACAGGGAGAGTTGCCGCTTCGTTAAAAATCGATTGAGCTAGAGTTGCATCATTGAGGCTAAGAGCACATCTCATCGCATTCCCAAGGTCCTTATACTTTCTGTAAATGCTCTCAGCGCATCGAAGAACCTAAAAATATTTTCGAAAGAAAGTCCGAACCTTCGTGTTATCGGGATCCGGAATATAAGCAACACAACTGGTTAGATAAAGGCAAACACGTTGGAAATTCAATTCAGTCGTGTGCTTTTCAAGAAATTGAAGATGCTCAATTTCAATACACAGATCGATAGCTTCGGATTCTGCGTTATGTTCCATCAGGTACGGAATAATCTTCTCGACTAATTCAATGTATTCAGCCTTCTTCTTATTAGACTCGTCGGATAAGACGGATCCTTCGTCAGACCCAGATAGGTATGACTCCACCCATATTTCAACAATTTGGTTGGTCAAGTGGCGTACATATTCGTGGCCCCAAACGCCAATATCATCATTCTTACTAAGTAGACGATAGTTGAGTGTATCATGTTTGCAATCAGGATCATCAGCCATTGTCATTCCAACCACAGACACAACCTCTGCACAGTTAGCCTACAGTTGAAAAGTTACATACAGGTATACACGTAAGATACTTTTGTTATGGGGTTGCTTATGTTTTCGTAAATTGTCTTGATACGTGCATAATGGGGGCGAAGGAATTTTAATGGCTTGGGAACCGATGTCATGGACGTTGTAGATGACTTAATCAAGGTTTTTAAACTTTCAATGGCAGCATCGTACAAGCTGACGTCTGGTTCTTCGAGACGTTGAAGAAGCATGTTGAGTGACTCAAGAAGTTGCCTATCCTCCTCGCTCTAAAAATAAATTATGAAAATAGAGAACAAACCAAATCATCTTCGGCATTTTCTTTGGGCTTCTTAAGAAGGTTCTCAGCATTATCAGGAGCTTTGAAGGCCACCTCCGTCCCCATTGACAGAAAATATGACTAATGCGGGTTTTTCGAAATTCCCAAACCTACAGCCCATCCGTTAAAACAAAGAGACTGATTAATGTGTTAACAAACTCTTGCAATTTGCATTAAAAGTTAAACATAATGTAAAAATTTTTAATAGTTGTGTCATTATTTTTTCCAGAATTTATGAGGGTTCAAATATACCGTGCAGCAAATGTTGAAACAATTCTGATTGAATGCACTAAGCGTCAATTAGACTTGGTTATCAAAGTAAGTTAAAACCTTTCTATTTATGCACATTGAACCAAAAAAACAATAAACCAAGATATCATCAAGAAATAACCATAACCCAATGCTTTTTTTATCAAATGTCCACAATTATTATAAAGCACGCACCTTTGATACACAATCATAAGGAAAATGAAAATATTTCTATTATCTAATTTCCAGTTTCATTTTAATTCGATATTGGTCAACAAAAGTACTTGCAATTCGGTAGTCTCCTATACTGTCAGCTTAGAAAAAAACCTTTCAGCTCATGCTATTAGTAAGGCGAAAACAGCCAAATAAATTGATGGAACTGCGTAGATTGGAACTAATTTTTTGGAAACGTAAAAGAGATGCCATCGAAATTAGATATTATTACTAGTAATTGATTCATACAATTTGATTAACACCTTTTTCTAGCCTGTTTAAGAACTCCGATGTGGCCATATAAAAAATAAGCATAAATACTGCAAAAGAAAAGTTTTTTGATGGTAAAGTGATTCATTTCAAATTCTACCAAGTTTTTCCTGAATACTTCAACATTATCTGTAATAATAACTGCACTCACCTCAATAGTCGGAGGTTCTATGTAAAAAGTAATGCGATTTTAGATAACATAGCAACATTTTAGATAGTTCAAATTGCAACGCGGTGCCTTTTTACATCTTTTCAATTAATAAACTCTAATGTATTGTTTTAATAGTCAAAAATTTTCTGTCAGAGCGTACCAGCAAGTAAATTATTGGTATTGGTGCCTTGCTTCCTTTCAGCGATTTCCTTAGGTGAGTGGTTTCTGTGTTTCGACTCGTATTTTTATTGTTTCCTTTATTGTTAAATCATATTTATTTGCTGCGAATTTCAATTAGAATTTAGTTGGATTGATTTTCTTCATCATTTATACCTCCGAAAATTAGTTGTCTTCTTTTGGTAAACTGCACACGAACAGCTACTTTGCGGTGGTTCTCTCGTTCTACTTTAAGGGTTAGACTTGAGCACCGTACGTACATTTGTTTCGAATAGGCTTTTGTTCATCTTACTGTGATTATTTGTATCTTACATGTTTTTGCCGTATTCAACTGGAAACGTTTTTATACTAAAGCACTTTTACATGTCTGGTATTATAATCTGCTTTACTCATAACCTGGTCAAGGTGATTGTTGGATTAATTTCGTGAAGCTCTTGCTCAAGCAAAAACAAACGATCTGTCGTAATTTGTCTATTTCGAATTAGGTTTGCATCTTAAGTGCACTCGAAAAAAATTAAGTAAACGTTATGTAACATCGTCCCACTCCAGTGTGGTTTTTGCGAGCAGTTGTGACGCATACCAAGTTGACATAAACCACAATGTGCTCACTAATTGTCGTCTTAAGTCTTTTTTTGCCCTTGGCTAGCCTGCGATTGAATTCTTGGTGTTAGCAATTTAAAAATGTGGCAATCTGTTTGTATGAAGTACAACGTCATTTTCTTGTTTAGTGTTCAAATGAATGATGAATTCAACCCAGCTTACTGGATTAGATGCGTTGCAGCAGAAACAAATCGGAGGTGCGGGTCCTGATGCTCGCCGGATGCGCAAGGCAATTTTTCGCAGAACCATCGATTACAATGCTTCTGTAATAAATTATTTAAAAGAAAGAGTGTGGAAACGCTCCCCTCGGTCCCGACTCGCTTTACAGCCCGATTACCTATATAATTATCTGGTAAGGCTTGTGTCCATATTTCCCTGTTACTTCTTCCGTTTCCTGGCTTAGCTAATTCACGACATTCCTGTGATCTTGTGGTGGTGTATAGGTTTTTGCATTCTGTGCACGGATAAGTGTAATTATGATTTATTGTAATGCTATCCAATTGGATCGTTAGCTTTCTTATTATTTAGTCACCACTATTGCTCCTCTAATGGTTAATGATGTTATACTTTTTAGATGAACCCCCCAAGCGATTACCTCGATAATCCAATGAACTGTGTTACTGGTAAACTAGTGAGAACTTCGACCAACAAAAACAAGTGCCCCATTTATTGTGTTTGTGTAAGTTCAGCATGAATTAATTGACCCTAATCTTTTGAATTTAGTGGACTCCGGAGGGACGTCGCCTTATTACTGGCGCCTTCAGTGGTGAATTTACTCTCTGGAATGGGCTCACATTTAACTTCGAAACTATTTTACAAGTAGATTTCCCGTTTCCTTTGACGTAATCTTATCCCTAGGCTCATGAGGCTCAAATCCGGTGCATGAAATGGTCGCACAATGACGAATGGCTTCTAACTGCTGATCATGCGGGCTACGTGAAGTACTGGCAGGCAAACATGAACAATGTTCAGATGTACCAGGCACACAAAATGCCCATTCGAGGGGTCAGGTACGCCTTACCGACTGCGGACTTCGTCAGTCTTTTCCTTGAAACGTTTTTCCCAAATTTTTCCCTTGACTCACAAATACTGACACTGAGTTACTACAATGCTACTAGAAATTTCGTGCTATTTAAATTATCACTACTGCCTACGGGAGAAAGAATAAAGCTCTTCCCTTTTGCTACTTGGGTTGCCTTGGTTGGGTGGTTTATTGGCGTGGTGTGGTCGGAATTTATGCCGAACTGAGTCTCAACCAGGGCTAGATTAGGTGTCATTGCATATAATCACTTACTCCACTGGCCTTTACTTGGGAATTCCGAACGTTTCAACCGTAATGTTTATTTTTGCGTGATCAGTACTCTCAGAAGGTTAGGTGACATTTTTTTGAAAAATCTACCTGTGATTTGTTGCCGTTAAATTTTATGGTAACTTGTCGCCATCAGCCTCCCTCTAACCGGGTCGCAGGAAAGTGTCGACCTGCTTCCGCTTGACTTAAGTGTTTCTCTTAGTTCGTACTGGAGTCGTTTTGCTGGGCTTGCCTACTCAAACCGCATACATTTTCAAAACACTGCTTTTTGTCATCTACTGTACTGTCACCGGGATTAACCAATGTCTGGTAGACGGGCACATTTGCGCTACCAATTTAATTTGTGATATTCTTGAACCTGGTTTCATGTGCGATTAACCAACTAGACAGTCATAAGATTTACCCCATCCGGTTCGCAGTCAACGGCAGACTGCTTGACAAATCCCCGTTCAAATGAACCCTGTATAGCACTTTGGCCTTGTTCTAGGGTGTTTTGTTGCATTAACTAGTGAAGTTGCGGTTCCTGCGTTGTCCTTAATGATATTTTGGCAATAAATGTGATCGTTAGTAGCGGCTTTGGCCATGTTTTCATTATCATGAGGTCGTTAACGGTCTAGTTTCGAGATTCCTGGTAATACTGGCATCAGTAATTGGTCTTTGCCTCTTCAACAACCAGATTATAAGGTAGCATCTGGAATATAGAACCAGTAGTGTACTATGTTAGCGTTAGTTACTTTTACCGAGTTTTAAGAAAAGAATCTTCACTTTAACAGTATCGGTAAGCAAGCTGTCATCCGTCATCGTACTTTATGTCAAAACGAGGTAGTGGAGCGTATCACCTCAATCCAGGTCAAACCGTATTTGTTCTACCTCTAAGAAATGAAATCCTATTCCTGAACGTTTTCTTTAGCAATGTTTGCCCAGTGAAACCTCTTGCTCCCTTGTTTTTGTGTACTTAACTGCATGAATTCCTGCATACTTTGTCTTGCACAGTTTTTCGCAATTCGACTCCAAATTTGTGACCTGCAGCGATGACGCCACCGTGCGAATTTGGGACTTCTTCCGGTGCTACGAAGAACGCGCCCTCCGCGGTAAGTAGGTTCTAAGCTCATTGAACCCTTTGTCGAAAACTCACTGATCGACGAAGCTGACTTGACCACAGCAACGTTTTCTACCCTCTTACTCTCGAATGCTTTTGCCTTGCAGGCTACTTTTGGTGATTTACGTTTCCAAACTTCTAGTATGCGGAGACCGCAGGAATACTTAAGGCAATAATAATATCAGTTGCTAGCAGAAACACTTTGGTCAACAACTCAAAGTATATTGACAATAATCTAAATTTGTTCATCAGTCTTTCATCATGAAAGACCAAATATGTACTTATTTTTTGTAGCAAATTCCACGTAAAGTCGGCATGGAGTAGGTTCAATTCCTTCTTGTGTCAAATTTATTGAAAGCTAGGCCTTTTGCATAATAGTTATATCTTAGTGTAGTCGACCAGTTAAGAGGGTCGTGCGTCAATTTCGGTAATACAGACATTTTCATGGCCTGTTTGCTTAGGTCACGGTTCTGACGTCCGAAGCGTCGCCTGGCACCCATACAAGTCGCTGATCATTTCAGGCAGTAAGGACGCCCAACAGCCAATCAAGTTGTGGGAACCGAAGACTGGAGAATCTGTCGCTACTCTGTAAGTCGTCCACATCAAATTTTCTTCCTCATCGCCACCAAAATACACACCTGTTTTTTTTTCACAGATATCCATGACCACTTAGGTATTCCTCGGTTCGCGCAATAAATCGGCCTCTGATCTGTTTTGAGATTGTTCTCGTTTACTCTTCCGCCTAACCTACTCTTTACCTTTTTTGTCGCATTGCAGGTATGTGCACAAAAACACGTGTACGGACGTAGCCTGGAACAAGAACGGCAATTGGTTCCTCACGGCCTCACGCGACCACCTCATCAAGTTGTTCGACCTGCGCTACATGAAGACGGAGTTGCAGACTTTCCGGGGTCACAAGAAAGACGTCATGCGTGTCGCCTGGCACCCCTGCCACGAATGCCTCTTTGCAAGCGGCAGTGCAGACGGCGCCATTCACTTTTGGTGCACTGGGTGAGTGCCAACCCTTCTCCAAGTTCTTTTTTATTTACATCACACACACACACACAGCATGATCTGAGATTCGCTGATAAATTAACAATCCGGGCATCTAAGCTGGCCCTCGAGTATAAACAAATTGGCACCTACTACTTGAGAAACTTTTGTAAGGTTGTGTGTTCCACTTCCATGTTTTTGTATTCATGGTCAACTAGCTCCCTTCTATATTGTCCAAATGGTTACATTTCAGGAAGTACTTGTAGCAGTCCAGTGCGGAGCTTGCTAATAAAATTTTCGAAGATGTAAGGAGTTGTGAGTGCTTAAAGGAGTTAATTGCTCTTTGCGTAGATGCCAATGAAGGTAATACCTGTTTAACTTAACTCGACCGCCAATATTTTGAGGTCGCGGCAATTCCGAGGAATTCACACGAACGCTGAATATTTGTCACTTATGCCTTTTGATTGATGAATAGAGGAATTGTCTTCAAGCAAAAACGCAAGGAGGGACGGCGAGTTAAATTGCCCTCCCCCGAGTAAAAAACCGATATCGTAATATCGACAAATTCGGTGCTGCTGAGGCCACACAATTACGCAACCAAAAAAATTCCTGACTGCTTTTTGGCCATTCAGGCTGTAAGCCTCCTAAAACACTTAAGCGGGCTTATTGAGTAGTTGAAAGAAATGCTATTGTCGAGCACGGAAAATGATTTAGGCCACATGAACTCCACACATCATCCAGACTCTCCGGAGGCTTCGCTTTCAAATTAACTCTGATTTCGGAGCATGGAAAATCATGTGAATACGTTGGAGGAGCCCTCGTTGATTTTGTATTCATTTAAGTCCGCTTTTTGCTCCATGTTTAAGCCTAAACTAACATTGTGTCGTTCGTAAGCTTACACGAGAATGCTTCCTACACTAAGAAGAAGTAGGTTTTGTGCTGAAGCATGCTAGGCCCCTTTTCTTCGTCTCCAATCTCATCTCAATTTATGGTGCCTGCTGTCAGTCTGGTACGCGCATTGCTTCTGATTTTAAACCTTGTCGATTTTCAGAACCGAAACCGAACTCGGCGCTATTGACGACGCGCATGAGAGCATGATATGGAGCCTAGCTTGGCATCCACTTGGTCACATTCTTGTTTCCGGCGCAAACGACTTCGCAACGTGAGTTAATACAAAGAAGTAGTATTTCTGTAATTCGAAGTGCTTTACTAGAAATAACCATCGTTTCTTCTCACCAAGGAAATTCTGGACGCGGAATCGTCCAGGTGACATCCTCAAGGACATTATTGGCACTGGCAATGCAGTCGCTTCTACGGGAATCGCAAATGTCCTCCCAGCCCTCAATACAGAAGATCTAGCGTCGGTTACCCTCTCAAAGGTAGCTTCGACGACCAACGCCAATATCAATGGAGTAGGTGGGTCGTTGGCTAGGGCACTGGCCGACGCGGCTGGTCGTCTACCAATTTTCGAGTCTGACGACCAATCAAATGTTCTGGACTTGGGAAATAAAGAGGTAGCGGTTGAAATCCCAGGACTAAATGATGGTCCTCCTGGTCCACTTGTTTCCGAGGACGAGCATGAATCAGATGCAACGAAAAGCAAACCCCTTCCGAATCGTCCTGCTGGGTCCATATCCAAGGAATTCATGGCTAACTGGTCGAGTTCTCGGGCTGTTCCCAAACCGGGCGTTGTCCTTTCCGCCGTAGCAGCCGCAAAAGAGTCTACTCGGGAAAGCAGTGGAGTTGGAGGAATGAATCCGCCCATTCCAGGTGAGAGCTTAGAAGAGGGTGAAATAGAAGATGACCCGACACTTTTGCGTAGCGTTTCTACTCCACTGGTCACTTCCGACATGTGTATGAATCCAAAGGCGAAAGCAGCTGCTTCTGAAGCGGCCGAATACGACACCCGCTACAAGGGACGCAAGTTCGACTCAGCCGCAAGAGAGGAAGAGATGCTTGCATTTGCGAATAGTCTAATGCCCCCGTCCCCACCGCACAAATCTCCACAGGAACCGCCACCACCGATGCGATCGAATGCACCGCCGCCAAATCAACAACCATCCTCAAGGTTCGGACCACCTCCCCCACCCCCACCACCGCCGAAAAGGTACATGCCTGGCCCACCCTCGAGATATCCTCATAGTGGATATCCCCCACCGGGGCAAGGTGGACCTCCATACTGGCGCCAGCCAATGCCCTTTCGGCCGCCTCATGATCAGTGGGGAGGACCTGGTCCTTACAATGGACCGCCACCTCCGCCCGGATATGGCGGACCCCCTCCCCCTAAAAGACCTGCTGTGCCTAGGCCACCACCCCCGCCAATGCGTCGTGGGTGGTAGGTCTGTGTATTTAACCACCTCTACGTACCCCTATGGGTGCGCGACTGTACACATATTTAGAGTATTTTAATCGTTGAGGTATTTTGGTCTTGGTAGGGTATAACCTGAATTCCAAAAATTTGTGTGTATAATGATAGAACTTGTTTTACAAATTTCCTGTCGATGTTTTTACCTAGAGAAGTTGCTTATAGGGGAAGCACGTCAAAACGCCTTTAGATATATTTAAAGGGAATATTTACTTCATTGAACACTTAAATGAATGGTGGATTAGTTAGGGACCTCCTACTTTGTATGATTAGAACTTACCGGAAAAAATCAGTGCTGGCTGGTGTCATTAAATGTAGAACCCCTCCAAGAGGGGTGGCAAAGCAGAACCAACGCCCACCACTAACCCCGGATTTTGTGCAAAAACTGCTAACCTGGATTCACTATATTTCCATTCAACATCTGTTGGCGTTCATCCTTTCCATTAAGTTTTTTGGTCAAAACCAAGGAAGCTTTGTTACGTAGAGTTCGCGGTTACGCATCTCAAATTTATCTTCCACCATATAATCGTATTGCAGAATGATATCACTTATACTAAAAATGATATCCTCTAACACAAACAATGCGGAATGACAGGGGCCTTGCATCTTCGATGATAAATTATTAGCGAAGCTACAGCAAGTTCAAGAGATAAAATGAATGTTCACATCGTGGATGAAATAAACCAACGCAACACCAAAAGATCACTTGCCTAAAATCCGAATAAAGTCGGAATACAACAACCGACATGCGAATGCTCAAAATTAAAAATAGTGATGCGTTACTAAGCCGACCTTTCGAAATTCCAACCCATAAACCGATTAAAATGATCATGGCAAAAAGAAAAGAACCAGACGACAGGAGGGGACAATATTTGCAGCTTGGAATAAGAAATTATTAATTATAAAGATAAAATGTACAGAAGAACTGAAAAAAGTAAGAATGACCAAAATGCATCTACGGAAAAAGATCACTTTTCAGAGAGACCTCTTTTAAATTCTGAGTACACTTGTTTCTTGAATTCCGACAAACTTGGTGATGGCTGTGGTGCTTCCTTGATTTCTTTGATTACTAGTACTGTTAACCAAGACATAACTAACCTTTAGTTTTGGAGATATTGAACAAGTTGACCAGCGACCGTGCTATTCCCCGAATAATGGGATGTCTTGATAACTCTGGGACGACTTTTTCCTCGATGTCAGGGGACCGCATTAACATTCTAAAAAATATATTTGGTACGTCTTGTGTTACTGCAATATGTAGCGCCACATCTCTGGGCCTTCGACAGATACATTCAGGCTAATATTACATAAATGTACTGGTAGGCCTGACAAAGCAGTAATTCGCAGGAAGTTATCTTCACGTTCAATCCAAAAAAATAGATTAGAGTGTGAAAACTTAGATCTTTATTTGTAGTGCATTTTACATCACATTTATTCTAAGCTAATGAGTATCCCGTTTTTTTAAATCTAATTTGCACTATTGTTAGAAATAAAATAAATGTCGAATTAACGGAATTTTGTTAGGAGACAGCCGATCCCAAGGTGGATAATTTGAAAAAAAATACTATTTTTTAAATATTTTTGTGAGTTTATTACACAAATGCTTCAAGCTGTTAGTGATTTATTTCTTAAATCGCAACCATTTTTTATGTGAATCAAAATTCAATTCGTAGTATATAACTGCGCGATTTATTATGCTACAGCGTTTATTGCCCCAAATTTTAATGCGTCGGCTCGAAGTATTTTTGATCTTTTTACGAGTCATAATTTTTCGTTTACAAATTAAGACAATTATATATAGTGCAAACTAATGCAAAACTGAGCATCATTTCACGTACCGATCTCTTAGGGCAAATGTTCGGATATTATCACAATCTAAGAAAATTTACGAAACAGTCTTGGCTAGAAGAAAAGGACCGGAATATAAATGACATGCGTATTATCGATAAAGTATGATTTCAAAATTGTTTGATGTTTCTAAATACGTGCTACTCCTTTCCTTTATCTGAGTTTAAGTCGTTTTTGTTAATTTAGTGCAACTGTAAAATTTTACTTTAATCTTCTTGTTAAATTCCGCAATGTAGTTCATCCAGGAAATTTAGACATGCTGGTAATTTGGACAGCCAGGAAATTTTTGAACCTGCGCATTAGGAAACTGAATTCTGTTTTTTGGTGCTTTTCGTGTTTTGAAGGCTATATTCTATTTTTTCATATTGGCAGTCTGTTTTGCTCCAGATTTTTGTACCATTCTGAAATGACATTCTCATCCGTTGAATTTTCCTGGCCTTTAAACCTTGGCACACCTGTAATTTCAAATACCGCTTACGTTTAAATATTTTCGATAAACATTTGGAGAGGAAAATGAAATTTGAAGGCTTTTTTATGACAATCGTCAAAAAATCCCTTTTCGGTAAATGAATAATAGTCAGTGTTATTAAACAATTTAATGATTTTTCGTTATATTTGTTATCATATATTATAACGATGGCATATAAGCAGATTTTTTTAGTTTTTGTGGTGAAACTCGCAAATATATACGAGGTATTATGAAATATCTTGCAACCTCCGAATTTTTTAACAGCCGCTTCAAACTTTTTTACGTTAGTTTCCTTGTCACTCCACTGTCTTGTTGAACAGGACCATTTAAATAATTGGGTTTCACATACAGTTTTTTTAATGACGCGGACGATGATGCCTGTGAGCGTGAGAATTGGAACGGAAATTATGGAGTCCGGAGGCTGAGCTGGGGGTTTCTTGAAAAGTACGGTCGTTACTATGGCATGTTTCACACCTCATTTTCGTATTTTGTTTTCAAGAACAGTTGGATGTAAGCTTTTTGTGGTCCCCAGCATGTGGTCATGAACCACGCCGAGGTTAATGAGTTAGATCTGACCTGATTACATTTCCCTGATATCCGAGATGAGGAAGGAGACCAGAGAGGATGTGGACACAACCATTTTCTTGAGGGCTCAACCACGTTTGTGTCGTCAGTGGCATTTGCGCGTGTGTATTAACACCTCAGTCATATATGCGCTTGCATCGAGACCTAGGTGTGAAGATAATCCAGATTAAATGTTCTTGGTTATGATGGGGGAATTGATGATCCTTGTGGCTGGCAACATGCTGCGAAAAAGAGGAACCTGTGTTGGAGGCTAATGTGATCGAGTTAACGAGTGTGAATCAATGCAATTCACAGCAATATAGTCCCTTTGGTTACATCTGAATGTATGCTTAACGATGTAGCAATATGCATATTTCCGGTTTTTGTAATCGCGGAAATATTTTGTAACAAATCTTTCGCATACATTCGAAAATCAAAGTATACATTAGACATGCCACTTCATATTTACCTAATATGACATTGAAATTTAGCAATGCATTATTTTGAAATTATTGGTTTGGCGTTCTGATGCCACGTTACTTTAATTACTATTTTGGATGTTCGCTTTTAGGCGAAATTTTCATGTTTTTGTAAAACCGGTGAATTTTTCTAGCCAATGTCTAAACCCCTAGCTCCTAAGATATTTTGGTTCAGGGCGAAATTGAAGCTACATGATGAATTGTTTTCATTCGCCCTAATTACCTACGCCCACGTACATCCGTCTTAATCGAATGCCTGTAAAATTTACTGCCCGCTCCACATCGGCGTAGTTAATTGATGAAGGCCACAACAACCATTGTGCCCTTGTGTACATCTGCAATCTTGCACACACTTAGTTCCGTTTGTGCGGACAGGCAAATGTTTGAGATCCTCGATCAGCAAGCCTGATCTCTAACCAGACACTTCAAAATCTGGCGCGGATGTGAAAACATGCTGTGGCTTACGATTTGTCAGCCTATTTGACTGAGTTTAGTCAGAATAACTTAGTGAATAATGAGCTATACATACACACAAATCTACGTTGCTTCTAGTCAGATATATGTACCAAATCTGCCTATTTTATCCTAGGTCAAGTGCGGGCGAGTTATGCAGTGCCTTGCGAAACCATTGATGAAACCATTAGAGTATCGTTCGATTTACAAGAATTTGTTCACATGATTTTAGGGTAACACATTACGGATCACAAATGTTAACCTTTGATTCATCTGCTGGCTCGACTGACAAGTTCTCAAAGATAACCAGGATCATAAGAAATATCTTAACCCCGTTTATCGGCACATAAGCGAACATGGGTGTGTCTCGACATCTCAGAATCGAAAAGTCTAGGCTATACAGCCTCAAATTTTGGCCTTCAACCTGCTACTACAGAGGAACGGAAATTCGTGGATTTCTCGTAGCTTAGAAACTCAAACCTTTGAAAATACCACATGCGACAGTGGAATCCTTCGCATCACCAAGAGTGGCTTTTGGCAAACGCTAATACGTTCATTTCCCAACGATCCAATATACCTGCTCTTTAAGCAACTGATGCGGTTTTACAACGAACCACAGCAGCAAGTGTAATGAAGCTGGGAGTCGTCGCAACTCCGTCGTGATAATCATTCTTCCAGTCAAACACTTCGCATATCTTCTCGAGGTTCGCCATTCCACGATCTGCACCTAGCAGGAAATAAAGTCGCAAGGAAAACGTTCGTTATTTGGTAGTTAAAAATATCAAATAGTTCGAAGTCCCGGGGAAGGAGGGCGAAGTAGCAGCCGGAATGCTTAAAAAGGGAGAGGGCTTCAGGCAGCCCCTATAGGTGGTCGGCGCCTCGGATAATGCTCGAGTCTGGCAGGGGTGAGTGTTCACAGAGAATGGCGGGCTTTCTGAAGTTGCGACAGAGGGACGAGGAAAGGTTGCAGGTGGCCGAAGGGAGCACCTCACGGATTAGCTCGGTGTACATATCGATCAACTTTTCCAGGCCGTACAAATAACCGTCCTCATGGTTTCCAGCAACCCACGACCTGTGGTGGTCTATTTGCACGGCAGCCGGAAGGGGGTGCGTTTTACCAAAGTCGATCATCCAAATGTTCGCTCGACCCGTGCGATCGTGGACAAACAAGAGGGACGTGCCAATCATCTGCAAGTGAAGCAAACACCCATTCACAGATTAAAAAGGACACGTTTGTTAGGAGGCTGTGGGGAAGGCTCAGATACTTGTCTCGAAGCCGAGCGAAACAATAATGCATTAAGGTTGGCACCATTAACGGAAAAACAACTTTGTCGCCATGCACGGAAACCAAGAGAAAAGATTGGACCAACAAAAAAGTTTTTTTTGAAAACTGGAGATTTGAAGTATTTTTTTGACAGGGAAAAGTGGTTCAAGTGTGGTCGTCACCAAGGGGCCAATCCAAGAGCAGGTCCAATTCCCAAAAATGTCAATTATGGTTAAAGTAACACATGCGTCGACAACGCCACGATAAATTTTAACATCACAGTTTTCGTACAAAATGTTTCAATTAATAATTTATTGAGGACCTCTCGTTTCCCGTCCTCATAGATTCTTGAACGATTTCGAGGTGCTATTTTGCACAGCATAGATGACGTGACTGTCAACTGAGAAAATAATCGCATCGACTAACAAGCCTTAAAAAGGCAGTTTTTGAGAGTTAGTAACTTATCTCCTAAAAGTACACGTGTGTGGGTGTTTGCAGTGTCCAAATTCTGACGACTGCACTAATCGATGCAAAATTGCGAAAATCTACTAGAAAAACGAAAATGACAAATGAGAGCCCATTGGCTTTCACTTTGGAATGCCTCTTTTCCAAAGCATAAAGGCATCGGAAATGATAACACGCCTCGTGGCTAGCATTTGCATCGCAAACAGGATCGCGCAGCAGAGATCTAAAGGGAAGCTAGCAATTCAACCGTCATTCAAGGTATGCAGCTTGCAAAATTGCAAAAAAAACAAGTCGAGTTCTGAGTGCCTCACAGCCCCAAACGTAGGAATGGAATAGCGCAACTCTTTGCAGAAAATTCTCACGATCGCGACAACTGTGGACTTGAGGCGCGCCACGATAAACTCGCACACCACAGTTTTCGTACAAAATGTTTCATCCAATCGTAGATGCTCTCCTTATTGCGAGCCTCTAGTTTTCTGTCCTCAGTGGATTCTTGAACGATTTCGAAGTGCAAAACGGTCATGGGGATGGCTATTTTGCACAGCATAGATGACGCGGCTATTTGCGTTAACTTACGCCCACCATCACTGTGCAGGCATGCTATCGCGTGGTTGCACATTCTCCGCTGAACTGCACCCCAATACGTGCATTCACCGACGCTCCCAGAAGCAATCTGTAGTGAATCGTGTTGATTCACGTCCAATAACCCTGTCCTCGCAGCTTCCAGCACACGTCCCCCCTTTCACGTGAGACCGCTGGTTCATTACCCCTCTGAATGTACCACCACCACCACCACCCGCTTTGGCCATGTGACCCCACAAACGCCTGCGTTCATTTTTACATGTCCACTCAACTGTAAAAGTACGCAACACAACTTGGTTGAGCGGTCTAGTAAACGGTTGTGCCTTCTCCACTCCGGTCTTCTATATTTTCGCGGGAACGCAGGGTAACGTATTCGGCCTAGATAATCGCAGTGGCCCCGGCGTGGTTCAAGACAACATGCCGGAGCCCCCAACAAATCCAACCTGGCAGGATGAAAAATCCCTTATTTCCCTTGACCACAACAATGCCTTCAATAAAAAGGAACATCTCATTTTCATGATTGACAAGAAGGGTCGCCAAACGGGCGTTTGGAGATTCCACATTTATGCGTAATCCAGCAAAATTTCCCAGAATGAGCAAATAGTACTACGCTGGTCGACTATGACGCATGAGGGCTTGAATAAGTTTTGTTTTTCAGCGCCGCTGTGCGTCGGATGCAGAAGCGGACTTTATTACGTCTGGATTTCGTGTGTAGCGCGCTCACCATATGGGCTAGGATTAGTCGTACTGCTTCCTTGAAGGAAGGGGATTTTGCGTGCTGGCAACAGAAAATAACGAAAAGAAGATTCGGGAGGAAGGAGGGAGGAGACGGCAAGTGTTGCCGAAAAAGACCTCACAAGTAGGAACAGCCGTCAGAGCTTGGAAGCTACTCACAATGTGAAAAGGCTAAAACACAGCACAGCGGCATGAAGTATTATCGGTTCACTAAAATCACCAGCCCTTTATTGGAGAAAATTCTGGCACAAACACACACATACGGAGCAACAATGAGGGCACACGAATTTCACATCTTAAACACCAAATACCCTCCTACGCAAGACATGAAACCGATAAGAACGTGTTACCTCGTGGGATTTGAAGAACGGAGAAGACTGGAGCACTTTCTGGAGGGATATTAGCCGTCTGAGGTAGGTCGCCTAGAAGCAGAACATTGAAAAATTAGATTAAGATGTACCAAATTGGATTTAGGACAAAGTTAGTGTCGTCTCGACCAGCAACAATCAGCACGAAATCAACACTTTTACAAAAAAAAACACAAACAGCATCAACATTGAGGGGAAAGCAAATCAGGGTTTGGTGAACCGAGGGCGACAATAAGCGCACCTGCAATGGCTTAGATCCCTCGGTAAACTTGCTGAGGCAGGCCTTAATGTCCGACCAGTTCTTGAGGCGCTTAAAATCCCGCGATGGCTTGTCGTCGTGGTCCTAAAACGAAGAACACCATTTAAAAAAGAAACAAGTCAACAGGTTGGTGCTTACATTAGGCCTAACGCTAGCCCACATCGCGCGTAAGGCGCAACACACAGTGACAGAGAGAACGGCCTAATTCACATACACACCACATGTCGTACACGAATTCGGGTGCTTAAGCTATGCGCAAACTGGGTAAATTAAACTACAATAACAAAACTACATGAACTGGCACTCACCAAACTTTTAACGTTAAACACAGAAATTGCAAGGTACGTAAAGTTGCCTTTTAGAGTAGCCATTGTAACACTGCATCATGACAAGTACATCACATGGAGATTGAGCTTGTCAAGAAATTAAGGACTTAGAAATTGGTTAATCAGAAAATCAACACAGATGCGCATACGGTGGGAGTTTGATTATTTGCAAATGGCATATATCGGTGGCTTGTTAGTTGCACGCGAAAATGGAAGGGCCCGGTGACGGTGAAGTAGGGCAGAATTCACAATGGACAGATTAATTCGGATGTGAGTGTGCAAGCCAGGTCCACAATCCCCAAAGGGGGGGGGAATTGTGTGAGTTTAGGGAAGCCAGAATTCCACTAGACGTATCATCGCTAAGACGGATTTCCTAACTGCTTTCACAACTCCCCCAATCACGCCATTCTGGTTGGTCACCCCAGTCGTGGCACCCGACAGACACGCTCGTCAGCGCGAGCCCCTCTTGATCCATCAGATAAAGGTCATGCATAACTAAGAAGCGGGCACATTCTGACATATTGACTGAGACAGTAACAGCTCTCTGCACGAGATCTTGTCAGTGTCCTGTTCTGGGAAGGTGGGACTGCGTCAGACTAGGGACTTGAGTACGTGATTGTTGAGTACAGACAATAGCGCAACAAGAAAAACGTGGTAGGTCTACCTCGGATGGTATATTTTGTTCGAAAGGGGATCGCAGACGTCCAAGGAGCACAGTTACTGCAAAAAATGGGCTGGTGGTGACTCAACCAACGTCCGAAAATACAAAAAAAAACAACTCCAACAGAGGGGGTAACAATGAAGTTAATTTAGGGGAAATGTAGCGAAATTCAGCCACGAGAAAACGTCAGCAGAGCTGGACAAACTTGCCCTTGACTTACCGACGAAGATTCGCTGACACATTCCTAGCATAACATAGCGAAATTTAGGTGATTTACAGGCACCAAAAGGCACAGCTTACTCAAGTAAAAATACAACAAGGCTGCGTATGAAACGGTAAAAGTTATAAACAGGACATGGGCTAGGTGTCAAGCTGGGTTAAGGCAAAATTTCACGTGGGAATGCTGGGGGGCAAACGGGGTTTTTTGGACTAGTTCGAAGTAGGAAGAAGGCATCATCGAATCAACTGTTTCACAAGAAAATCCATAATCATTTCCGCTCAAGTAGCAGGCATAGGTTTAATTAAAGCACCGTCTTGCCTTGTTACTTCTCTCTGACCGCTAGTTTTACAGCGCAGATCCACTAACTGAATCCGACCGTAGATCTCAAGACTTTGTTGACAGTTAGTGTTTACAATGTATTTATACAGATAGTGTTACATTTTCCAGACATAACGCAGCCAGATGATCAATTTGCGCACTCTAACAAAAACTACGAAAGTCAAATACAAACCTGTCATTTAGTCAACCAAGTAAACGCCCAATCGTTGTTTGTTTGAACTGGATCAATGGCGATTGGTTAAATGAGTTAGAAAAAAATTTTTGCAAACGATGGTCTGTCTTACTGACACAATAACACAGTCTCTTGATAATCGCAAGTCTACTAGGGAACATTTAGGCAAAAAGAATAAAGCAAATGTGGCGAAATTGTCATCTTGGACTTCTAGCGCAGTCCTAGAGTGGGTGCAGAGAGGCTGGAACAAACGTCAACTTTTGTGCTATCACAAATCAAATCAACCGAAATACACACCTCGAATCTAACGATAAGAAATTCTACATAAATGCACTGGAAACCCTAAAACATATAAATGCACTTGTTGTCGTCGGGGTCACCAATTTTTGTGCGCCCCAGCATTTGGCCTTGAACCACGCCGGGGCCACGGAATTATTCCTGGCCCAATTACGCTTCCCTGATACCCGCGATGAAGGAAAAGACCGGAGAGGACGTGGACACAACCGCTTACTTCAGAGCTCAACCACGCTGGTGTCGTTGTGTCGTGTGTGGGGTTTGCGCGTGTGTATTTATAGTTCGTGTGTGCGAGTCATAACTGTGCTAACATCGAGATCTAGGTGTGAGGTTAATCCAAGATACATATTCGTGTGAAAGAAGGGGGAGTTGAGGATTTGCGCGGCTGTCGCTATGCTGCGAGAAGGGGAGCTTTGTATCAGAGGCGAATCGATCGGATTAAGGAGTTGAATAAACACGATTTACAACACCCTACATAAATGCACTGGAAGCCCTAAAACACCAATGCCAGGCGGTAGTATTCATTGTGCAGTAATATCGTAGTTTGCCTCGAGTGTCTCACAGATCCGTCGTAAGTTGGTCCCAAGAGCGTACCACAATGGCCCATGAAGTTCTGAAACAATACTGACACGCTGATCCACGCAAAAAGCTTGCTGCTCATCTAATCCCTGCCTCATGAACTTGAGGTTGTCACAGAAGAATGCCCGTCGACGGACTGACACACAAACAACCGAATCGCCGAGTGAACTGAGCGGCTACATTTCGTGATGGATGCGATCCGATGACCTAATAATAATACTAGCAACTGGCAATGGTGTCAGTTCTTGCCAGATCGCATTTACTCATTCCAGCGGGTTATTTGCTGCTGCACAAGGCAACAGCAACAGAGGGGACGAGCAGTATCGACACATGTGTGTGTGTGGATTATCAGAGTGATTGATTTTGAATAATTTAGAATTAACGATCAATAAGAGGTGTGTCTGGGATTTTCTACAGAATCACGCGAAAGGAGACACAAAGCCACGTAAAAAACTTGAGTGAAAAGGGTCAAAAAATAGGAGACGAGTGGAGAAAAGACTAACGAGAGTTGCAAAAGTGGGGCAGAAGACGAATTTGGAAAAGCCAATACGCCAACATAAAGCAGATCTTCGAGACTTAAATTTAATTCTTTTTTCCATTACGAGAAAACATGAGTTGAGGTAACGCGAAGATGAATACATTTTTAAATTTAAAAAAAATGGGAAAAATCACGCCGGTGAGGCAGAACAATCGAGAAGATGACAAGCAACTAGCCTTGATGCCTTCGATTCGAAAACCGAAATCAGCAGACGAGCTAAGTGTCTCCCGCCACTGCATGTAACGAAGCTTCGTGACAGCGGCCTGTTGGTGTTCTAGAGGACTTGGTTCATTCGGATCCACCTCAACCATCTTCTGGTACATGTCCTAGGAAAGGCAAATGCACAAACTAAGCTTCAGGCACGTTGTAAAACAGCACACAAATGCCCTCTTGCACATTCACTACGCGTTATAGTTAACCGACGACAAAACATCAAGACAGCTGATCCCCCAACGAGGCTATAAACGGGATTCAAACATGTGCCCGACAAAAAACGTGACCAAAAAGGGTAGCGCCTTAGAAAGTTCATTTTGGGCTACAAAATGCGACTTATTGACCCAGCCACATGGCCCTGCGGCTGAGATCTAAGGGCAAGCATGGCAACGGCGAGAATCGTTTGATCCATTAACCGACAATTTCGGACTCAGTGGTTATGACTTCGAGCGTGAACGGACTACACTACAAACATGCACGAAATGTCTTCAAGAAGCCGCTGAAAATGTCGCTTGCCTAAGCGACATAAGCTACCTAACACTTCTGCATTCGCAGCTGAAAAATAAGACCAAATTTTGTCAAGTGACCACAAAGAAACCGGCAAAATGAACGTCGAACGAACATCTGAAAACGAATACGATGCCCACACTTCCGAAAACCAAGCTAAGAACTGTGCGAACAAAGTTAAGCCAGTAACTCAAATAAACTGAATCCAGTAATAAAATATCACTTGAACCACGGAAAAATGAATCTAATTTGCGCCATTTGGACACTACGGAATCGGTACCCGTTAATCTTTTCAGTGGAATTTCGGAGACTGAAAAAAAACGGGTGTCTGGGTCTTGACAAATGTTTCAGTGCGAAGCACATCCTTTGACGGCAGTGTTAGCTGAATTCTAATTTAAAAAAAGTAATAGGCTTACCTGTCGTAGCTTGGGAGCTCCGCTATGAAGAGCAAGCCATTCCTCTTCAAGAAAGGTCCGTCGCCCCATTTTCACATCCATTATTGAGGGACTGTTGAAGCCGTGCAAGAGGTCTCGCATCCGGATAAAGCCTAATGCAACATTAAGGATAGACATTGAGCAAATTTCGCTTGCACTGCCTTACAAGAAGGAATGCGCTTTTCCGTAAAGGCCAATAGGGGCGTTTTTAGAAACGATTAAAGTGTGCAACTGCGTTGTGCCGACTCTAAACACCACCAGTTGCCACTGTGGTGGCCCAGCGGTCATCACTGGCCAAAAGATTCCTCGTTATGGAAGCCTGAGGGGTTATTCGAAGAACCAAAGTACCTATCTATGTCTGCAAGCACACTCGCGAACGCAACGACTTAGGATAGCAGATGAAGGAATTTAAACAGAAGGCTACAACAAAATGCGTGTCTGGCTAGTGTGAAACAAAAAGCGTGCTAGGTAAAATAGAAGAATCTTATAAACTGCCTTGCATTTTCGGCCAAACTACTTATACACTTGGACAAAACGAAGCTTTAGATTTGTGAAATGCCATGCACAATAAACACTCCATCAAGCAAATGAAAACGCATTGGTGGACACATTTCAAGCTTTACTACGGATTAAGGTAATTTGGCGATTGAGCATATTAATAACTCTTTCGGCATTGTTTTTCATAAAAAGGCCCCACAGACCGTGGAGGAAACTATGTACTTCTGGAACAGGTTAATCAAGATTTCCTGAACTTTGCTTCGTATAAACCTAATGCTTCCCCAACCATTGCCTGTCACCTTGATTTTGACTGAGTGTGAGGCGGTTTCATCGGAAGTTCAACACGAGCACCGACTGTAGTTCGAATTAATGTTAACAATATTGTCAACACGGAATTTTACCAAGTTCATCAATGTACTGCACTATCAACAAAAAGGGCAGTATCCATGTGACCCAGCTGTAGTTCGTGCTCGCCTTCATCACCTGCATGATCTAATGATCCATGAGTCACAAAGAACTACTGCAGATCAACAATTGGATGATCATGTGGTCCTGCGGTAGCCTTCAGGAGCACGTGGGCCAAGAATCGTTGACCACCTGGAAATAAGCATCGATATGCATTGTTCCACTAGCTCCAAGTACTAGTGCTGTTCGCTTGTGGAATATCTGCGCATCGGCAGCACAGATCACGCGAAACACCACCCACGTTTACAACGGAACAATGTAGCAGGTTGGGGTTCTGCTCCAATTGCTTAGTTAGAATTTCACCTCCAGCAGTTACCTTCGACTATTTGCGAGAGTTTATACTAAACGCCACGATGAAAGTGCATAAACTATTCAAATCAATGGATAATCAAGATAAACCAAATAAGAAGATACGTTTTCCATCCGACGTTATCTTCTCTCCCATGTATTTCGGCACGAAACTTCGAAGAATGTCGGAGGTGAGTGCCAAAAGGCATTTGCTTTCGCGTTCATTGTACATTTTAAGAATGACACCAGCCTTGTCCGGAATGAAGGAGCCTATGGTGAATGACAAATTTAAAGGTTATTTTTCGGATAGAAATTATCGAGCGCATACTCAGAGGATTTTCGAAACCTCGACTTTCTAACATGACATGAAAAACAGCACATCACCAGTAAGGTTAAATGTAAATCAAATAATACAACCTCTTAAAATAAAACCCTACACTTACACATAACCATAAAACAACCCAGGCCTCAACATAAATCCATCAGTGATTACCGACGATTAAGGCGCGCAGCAAATAGAAATAAATATTGAGACAGGTTAACTAATATTCAAATTTGCATGATGTCATCCAAAATATCTTGAAAAATTTATTGCGCTGAACTTTATAAATCGAAACCAATAAGTTGTTCATTGTTTCAGTCATGGGTGAAACCAAAGAAGGGTATTTAAAGGGATTAGAACGGGCAGCTGGGGTAAAAATTAACCGTTAAGCAACTAAAGAGAAAAATAAGAATACAGGTGTTTTACCACCACGCAATTCTCCATTAAATCCACAATAAGTTGTTATATTTTATAAAAATCATAGCACTTCTGTCACTACACATTCTTAAAACATCGAGCAACGACTTTTGCGTGCCACATTATGTTGGACCCCACTACTGCACACAAATTTGGTACGCCGATACTAGTCCATTAAGCTCACTGTTAGT